TCGCCTACACCGCTGGGGGCGAGAGCAACCCCCTTTTCGTCACTGACAATCACCTCCATTTATCTTTGTGCGAACTCGGAAGAAAGGTGCGAGGTGTATAACTGCAAACAAATCCCCCCGTGTGCGTGTAACTATGAGCCCCATTTCGTAGATTGTGATACGGACCATTAGGGCAACGCGTGATTCAAATCATTCCGTAAGAAACTGCTGACGAACACAGATGTGTTGGCAAGAGTGAGCATCCACAACATGGCTGCTGGTGGGTCATGGTGTTGAGGCGTGTCACCTTTGCCGTAGGTGTGAGATGCATGACTGCGGTGGCAAATGTCACCTAACAACCTGACACCCACTCCCGGTCCCTTCAATATTCGCACGTGGAAAATCGCCACGGTGTTACTCACGCATTCACACCGTTCTGATGACGAATGGTGAATGACACCGTCTACAAAATAAAATTTTTCTGGCCTTTGCAGAAAGATATAAGTTTTTTTATAACAAGCTCAAAAAGTTGTGTATATTTGCAGTGGAAATGAAAACGGTCCATCATGCATTCAGTCACAGTGAGCACACAATCGAAGCCAAATCTGCTTTTCAAAGCATCGAAATAATCATGCACTGTGTGTAAAATTTGTTGGTAATATCAAGCATTCGGCATCAGGAGTTTGAACCGAGGCGTCCAACCGACTGCATAACTTCAGCGTTGGAGGCTTTAAAAAACGTCGAGAGACTATGCTTGGTGTTTCGTTTCTGAATCTACAAACTGACAAATCTTGAATTCCCGTTTGACCAGTGAATGGTGGTCTAGGCAGTTGTCAAATCGAACGACCATTTGCATCAGTCAAGTATCTGGTACCTGGTGTGGATGATCCCCACAAACTCGATGCCCAAAATGGTTTTACAGTAGCAGTTAATGTGGCAGCGTCTATTCACTGATGCGAGACTAAGTGCCGGAACTGCATTTCAGTTGCCTCTAATGAAAAAAATGTCAATGGAGTCGATCTGGAGGAATTGTCCATGTCACCATCAGTAACACAAACAACAGGGTTGGGCTGTGCATTTGTGGTATTCGTGGAGTTGGCCAAATTCCATGGAGGATTGATTTTAAAGTGCTGTTTTTTCCAATATCGTCCTGAGTGGCTCCGCATGTTCTTCCCAACCAGAAATATCACTTATAATCAACTTGCTCACTGGTCACACCAATTTTTACAATGGTTTTTCCACCCCTAGTTGTGAAATGCGTTAAACAGTTCTAACAACGACGACGTCACAAACCAATTCTCGCTTTTTACGGCACATGAATGTGACGCATATTTTGCACTTATTTGTTTATGTACCAGCTTCAGCCACAGATGCATCCTCCTCCTCCGCTTCGTCGTAAATTCACGCTTGTGCTCACGAATGAAGCTTACACGTCACGCTTCATCACAACATCTTATCAAGAGGCCAAAGCACACAAATGAGTTGGCAGATTACAGACCTAACACGCAACACTCCAACCACCCCATCACCGGCAATTTTCACCACACGTCATCTCATGCCACTCTCAAAATGACACAACATATAACCCGTGAAGCATCCGCGCACACACCACATTGCCTTTGCTTTGTTCGTGGGGCATTTCAACACACTGTCCTCAAAAGATACTTGGTTTGCTACATTTTGTGACGCACAAATCGGAGCATTTATCAAATACTTCTTTTGACCTGGCAACTGCTTGTCCGCTTATACCGAATCGTAGCCTACTAAACTGCCATTGAGGCAGAGTGCTTGAAGTGGCACAGCAGCCGGAACTCGAAGGTGTCATCGAATAAAACCCTTTCGAAAGTCAAGTGGACAGCATGCACTACTTCGTGTCAGATATTTACGCAAATCTCAATTTTACCGATGGAAATGAATGACACAATGGCGCACCGCGTCAGTCATGACTGTGCGCAAATGACACGCATTGGATAATTTCGCAGAACCAATAGATTTAGGTGCTAGGTCAGTTCTAGCGACAGTTGAGAAATGAAGAAGAGACCTGGCCAATCACAGCAGCTGCGCACACCGCACAGGTCCAGTCTCCGACCAATCAGCGCACCAGCCAATAGAATAGCTGGTGGTGTCGCTATAAAATGACAGTGTTCAGCATGCACACAGAAATTAAGATGTCTGCTAGTGGAAGTCCAAAGGAGGCCGCTGAAGCGTGTGCAGATTCGTCGTCACAGGAGAAATCGGTGAAAACACCAAACCGTCCGATAAAGAGGGATGCGTGCCCGCCGGCACCAAGGAAGACAAAGCGCCGTCGTCCACGGCAACAAAACGCACCTGGTCAATCCCAGATAAAACGGCGCCTAACCTACGACAACTGAGAAGACGCATCTACGATCGTCTCTGCTGAGTTAACCTGTCTGTAAATATTTTTTTCCTAGTTTAGCTAATTACATTGCTGTAAATATGAGATGTCGTGTTATTGTGGTGGAGGGAGATTGGGGTGCGCGTGGATTGGGTTGTGTGGAAGGGCAAAGTTGGAAGATGTGCTCCTGGTGACCCATTCCGCTCCACCTGTGTTGAAAGGCTCTGTGAGGTGAGGGAACCGAGATAACCTTAGCACATAACCCTGATACATGCCAGTTGCATGCAAAAGCATGATGTGGATGTGTGTGTAGGATTGACTTCGTGCGGTGTCTTACACGTTGTGGGCGACATTCGGTGAACGTAGCCAGGTATATTTGATGATCGACTACTGTTATTTTGGGGTCTATTATCAGCCTGATGTTATTAAGACTACGGCATTTTCTAGCGACTGATAAAAGACTGGCGTTCAAATTTGTATACGGTGTGAATACTGTGTACTTGCCCTCTTACCGTCACGACACCAGTCATTCGCCTGCTTGGTCAATGCTGGTGTTAACTGGCGAAATCTGAATTGGTCTATGGTGCTGCATTTGGTGCTGCACGTTGCATCGACTCTCTTCAAATGATCCACTGAGCACTTGGCACAAGGCTGCGTCTCCCTCAGCTCACTTGCATCAGTTCACTCGACGATTTCCATTCCATTTGTTGCAGTGAAACCGCCTTTAATGCATCTCGCACAAGTCACATGAGGAAACAGCTCTTCAACCGACGACTGTGCACCGTGTTTGCGCACAGGCAATGTCATCAAAACACGTGCTTCCGAAATAGGCAGATTCAGTGCAGCAGTGTTTGAAACAATGCTGCGTCGTTGACGCTGTGTGCTGCAACTTCAATTACTAGCACTTTAACACACTGTCGCGTCCGTTTTCGACATTCCCTGATCGTATGGACATCGCACAGAAAGGGTTTAGACGACTAACTGTAGATTAATGGTGTTTGCGAGAAGCGTTATGATTCACAGCTGCGGTGGCACACGAAAAATGGGCGGCCAGATAAGCCAACACCACTGACGCCTTAGCAAATCGACCAATTTTTACGTTACATGTTTAACCATAACTACTATGTGTGCGGCACTACGCCAACCCCCTAGATATCTACATGCTCCGTCGCGGTACACAGTTGAGTCAGGCGATGATGCGTTGTTTTGTCCTTAACCTAAATATGTCCCATTTAACGATTTTCTGCTTGCTAATATTAAAGGGACCGGGAGTGGGTGTCAAGTTGTTAGTTGACATTTGCCACCGCAGTCATGTATCTCACACCTACGCCCAAGTTTACTCGCCTCAGCACCATGATCCACGAGCAGACATGTTGTGGATGCTCACTCTTGCCAACACATCTGTGTTCCTCAGCAGTTTCCTACGGAATAATTTGAATCACGCGTTGTCCCACTATTTTTACAGCTTTGAACTGTTTTTCCGCATCACAAGCTGCAAAATGGGGCACATAATTTTCCCAAACATGCCATAGAATGAATCCCTCGAAAATTATCCATCCATCCACGCAGCTGCACTCTGCATTGCTTCGCAAACTAGCCGCAGTGCTACGCACCGACGTGCTCACGTCACCCGTTGGCATCTGTGGGATGTTGATTATGCTGCCCTGCATGTAATGGGTACTGCTATGTACTGCAGCAGTGTATGCATTAAGAATCATGTCATTTTCGGTGATACAAATGCCAAACGATGACGATTTCACGCCCCGTCACCTAAAACCCCAGTAAATGGGCCATGCTTGAATTCCCTACGTTGTCATTAATGGATTCGTTCACAGCCTAGTAACTGACATTGTATGCTTGAAGTTTCACGGTGCGCGTGGTAGGCAAAGCAGAATAAGCTGGTTCCAAAATAATTATTCCAGCTCAACAAACTCCCCTCTTCAACTACTCCTCGCAAGCCAAATTACAAGCATTTCAAATTAAGCGTAATGCTGATTACGTCAACAAGCGAAGATGAATAACTCAATGTGGCCTATACTGTGTGCAGAATACGAGGCTCGAAATCCATATCGGATGGTACATTAACAATTCACTTTCTTGT